CTCTCCGCTCCAACCAAGAGACCTCGAGACAGCTTCGCCTCGCTGTGACCCACGGACGACGTTCCGTCTGTGCCGCCTCGTGCCGCCAAACTCTCGCCCGCGAGCCGACGTGCCGCCACATCCATGCTCTACCTCGTCGGCCTTGGCCTCAACGACGAGCACGACATCTCGCTCCGCGGGCTCGAGATCGTCCGCCGCTGCGAGGAGGTCTACCTGGAGGCGTACACCTCTGTGCTCACCGTCCCCGTCGCCCGGCTCGAGGCGCTCTACGGCAGGCCGGTGACGGTGGCCGAGCGCGACTTTGTGGAGTCGGCCATCGAGCCGGTCCTCGAGCGCGCCCGCACGGCCGAGATCGCGCTGCTCGTCGTGGGCGACCCGTTCGGCGCGACCACCCACTGCGACGTCCTCGCGCGTGCAAAGGCGCTCGGCGTGCAGACGCGGGTGGTTCACAACGCCTCCATCATGAACGCGATCGGCTGCTGCGGCGTCCAGCTGTACCGCTTCGGCGAGGCCGTCTCGGTGCCCTTCTTCACCGACAGCTGGAAGCCCGCCTCCTTCTTTGACAAGCTCGAGGCGAACGCGTCGCTCGGGCTGCACTCGCTGCTGCTGGTCGACATCAAGACACGCGAGCCGACGCTGCCGTCGCTCGCGCGCGGCCGGCCAGTCTACCTGCCGCCGCGCTTCATGACGGTCCGCCAGGCCGTCGGCCAGGTGCTCGAGATAGCCGCGACAAGGCCGGGCTCGGGCGTGGGCGCGACGTCGCGCGCGATTGGGGTGGCGCGCGTGGGGACGGAGAGCCAGGTGTGCGTGCACGGCACGCTGGGCGAGCTGCGCTCTGTGGACTTTGGGCCTCCCCTCCACTCGCTGGTGCTGCTCGGCGCCATGACGGAGGTGGAGGAGCAGATGTTGGGCTCCTTTTGCGAGGAGGCGGCCTCGGCGAGGCACCACACCGACCGCGAGCTCGAGCGCATCGACCGGGCGGCGGAGCGGGCCGCGCGCGCCTACGAGACGGGCGTCATCGAGGCGGAGGGCAGTGGCTCCTCGGAGTCGGACGAGGAGGACCAGCATTAGTAAACGGTTTACGTCGCGCGTTTTTTATATTGCGCGGGGTGCAGTGTTGATGTATATGTTCGCACCGTCTCGGTAACGGAGGCGCGCGCGCAGGGGGGGGAAACGCGGCGTAAGCTGCTAGAGCCGTCGCGCGCCTCCGGCTTGGCCTTGGGCGCGCGGGCGGACATATGCATGTGTAACGAGTAACTTCACGGGTGTACAGGGAAATAAAACGCGAGAGAGCGAGCCAGGGCGCAGGCGGGAGAGAGACGCCGATTTGGGCGCATTGGCCATTGGCAGCGGCAACACGCTTTACCTTTAGGATTGACACCACACGCCCACACGCCGCACGCAGCTACGGCGAGTCAGGCGTGACAAAGAGCTTGACGCCGACGGCGAGCATGCCTCCACTCGCGAGTCCCAGCGCTAGCTGCGTGAGTAGGCCGCCGAGGGTTACGTCGAGCGAGTCCTCCTGGATCGCATCGCCCAGCGGCTTGCCGCTCAGGTCGCGCTGGCCCGCGCTGGCAGCAACAGCCTCCTCAGCGGCAGCACCCTCCTCCGCGAGCACCGTCTCGCAGGAGAGAAGCACCAGTCCCTCCTCCGAGATCTTGGACCACCGCGTCTCGCCCTTGTCGTCGATCATCACCATCTGGCCGGCGCTGATGTCAGCCGAGTCCTCTCCGTCCTCAATGGTTGCGGAGCCTGACTTTACGTACACCATCTTGAGCTTCCCCGAGACGGCCGCATCGGCAAAGTCCTGCACGCGCCGCTCGAGGCCGGGCCAGTTGAAGACGCCGAGATCCTCGATCGCCTTTTGGTCGACGGTGTCGACCGAAAAGCCGCACGCCACAGCACAGCGAGGAGCGGCGCGAGAAGGCAGCGCCGGGAGGCTGAACGCGGCGGAGGCGGCCGCGTGAAGCAGGACCGTCGCGAGGCGGAGCGGAGATGGTGCCATATGCAGGCCCAGTTTATTACGGCGCTTCCTCACGCTTGCGCTTCCTCGGCGCTCGGCAGCTCTGCTCTTCGCTTGCTAGCCAGGTGCCAGAAGCCGGAAGAAAATCGAGCGCGTAAAAAGAAAAGGAAGGTCATTGCACACGCGCATGCACATGCATGTTATTCCTCTCCCATCTGCGAGCGCCGAGCTTGCGCCACCGCCGCCACAACGTCGCGCTGGCGATCGATCAGCCTCAGCAGAGCCTGCATGAGGCGATCGCCAGCGTCGGCGCCCGCATCGGCGAGACGGGAGAGCTGCTCGACCTCGACCGCAGGCGGGCGGCGGCGGGCGAGCTCGAGGCACAGTCGGCGAGTGAGGGCTTTTGGGAGGACGCGGACGCGGCGGAGGCGACACTGCGGACACTCGCAGAGCACAGAGCCGTCCTCGAGCAGGCGGCGCGGTGGGAGGCGGCGGTCGAGGACGCAAAGGCGGCGGCCGACCTCGAGGAGGCTGAGCTGGTGGAGGAGGCGTCCGCGGCGCTTGCCAGCCTCGACGGCGAGCTCGATGCGTGGGAGCTGCGCTCGCTGATGGGCGGCGCGCACGACTCGTGTGGCGCGGTGCTCACTCTCACTGCGGGCGCGGGGGGCGTGGACGCGCAGGACTGGGCCGAGATGCTGCTGCGGATGTACAGGCGGTGGGCGGAGGGCCACCCGAGCGGGTATCGCGTGACGCTGACGGAGAGAACCGAGGGCGAGGAGGCGGGCATCAAGTCGGCGGCGCTCACCATCGACGGCCCGTACGCTTACGGCCACCTCAAGGCGGAGCGAGGCGCGGCCGCCGCCAGGGGTCGGGGTAGGGGTAGGGGTAGCTTACGCAGCCCTTGGCGCGTGACACGCGCCCGACGCGTCGCGTGTAGGCACGCACCGGCTCGTGCGGCTCTCGCCCTTCAACGCGGCCAACAAGCGGCAGACCAGCTTCGCGGGCGTCGAGCTGATGCCCCTCCTGGGCGAGGAGGAGGCGGGCCGGGTGGAGATCCCGCCCGCCGACCTAGAGGTGACGACGATGCGAGCGGGAGGCGCGGGCGGCCAGAACGTCAACAAGGTTGAGACGGCGGTGCGGGTGAGGCACCTTCCGTCGGGGCTGGTGGTGCGGTGCCAGCAGGAGCGGTCGCAGGCGCGGAACCGCGAGATTGCAATCTCGATGGTCAAGGCGCGGATGCTCGAGGCGATGGAGGCGCAGCGGGTGGACGAGCTCGCGCAGATCCGGGGGGAGGCGATCGCGGCCGAGTGGGGGCAGCAGATCCGGTCGTACGTCCTCGCGCCGTACAAGATGGTCAAGGACGCGCGCACGGGCCACGAGACTCCGCAGGCGGAGGCCGTTACTATCATACTCACTTCAACAGTCATAACAAAGTGGTTGAATGTAACGGGGCACGAACGCCTCAGGTGCAGTCCGTGCTCGACGGCGAGCTCGGAGGCTTCATCGACGCCTACCTGCGGTGGGCCGCTGCGGCGGAGCGAGACCAGCGCGCGGAAGGCAGCTGACGCGCGGCAGGGACCGGAGAGTACGAGGGGGGAGAAGCTTGCGTACGTGGTTTCAGCAGGATAGATCGCTGTGTCTTTGGTGGGTGTGCGGCAATGACACGCGGTGCGCCGGGGACCGGGCGTGAGATGGGGAGATAGTGATAGAACGTATCTCCAGTTTTGCGTATGTGTCTGATCTGTCTGTCCGCGGGCGGTGCTCTGGGGGGACGCGGGGCCCCCGGAGGCACCGTGCGCCGCGCAGGCCGCAGCAGTGCCCGCAGAGCCGCAGTGCGGAAAGGGGTGCTGGGGCGATGCGTGCTTTAAGTACCCATCAAGCTGAGGCGTGAGGGCGTAGCCGCGACGAACAGAGGGCGAGAGCGTAGTGCTGGGCACTAGCCCAAACCGCCCTGCCCACGAGAGCAACCGGCTACGCGCCGTTTGGGCCAGGGAGCGCGATTAGTCTGGGGAGGTCGTGTCCGACACGCCTCACCTCGGAGCGGTCGGTGCAAAGTACTCATCAAGCCGAGGGCGTAGCCGCGACGAACAGAGGGCGAGAGCGTAGTGCTCCACACCGCCACCGAGGAGAACCGCTTCGCCACCGAGCCAAGACAGCTTGTGTTTGGGGGAGGCCAGCTCAGGCTGCCGCATCTTGCCGCCCAAGTAGAGCTGTCAAACGTTAACTTTGGGCCTAACAGTTGCACTATTGTTGGCTGAAAATCCTCAACGTTGTTCAAGTGTTCTCCCCAGCCCAAGCTGTTACTGTTTGTTACTGTTGTTACTGTTGTTCAGTGGTCAGCAAGCAGAAAATGCCAAAAAACCCGGGTAAAACCCGAAAATACCTGGGTTTTTCCAGGTATTTTCGGGTATTACCCGCACTGGACGCTGGAGATCGTCGTGGGTCACTGCCAGGCCTTCCTTATTGTTGTTCAGCTGGCCTAACGTTAGCTACTGTTGTTGGGGAGCCCCACTGTTGTTCTGTTGTTACTGTTAACACTAGCAACACTGTTCAGCTCTTAACGTTCTTGACAGCTCTACGCCCAAGCAAGAAGTACATACACCTTCCTGCGCCAACTAGGGTTATAAAGTTAAGTGCCCAAATCCCGTAGGCCTGGCAAAAATTGGGGTTACCACCCACCCCAGACCCGCAACACCACTTTTTTCTAGGTTACACAGGAGCAAAATTTCACTTCTGCCCGAAGCCCATCTACACCGAGAGCTAACGCCCACGTCGCTAAGACGGAAATAGCAAAGGTCTGGGAGGGGGGAGTCGGAAGTCATGGACCGTCGGTGGTCCGTAGCCACAGGTGTCCCTGCTAGCTTGCCGGCCGGCGCCGACCCCTGCTCCCGGGCGCGCCCAGGCCCGACCACGTACCTTACGTCGTCGCGCACCGCCACGCGGCCGGCAACTGGTCGCTCTGACCCACTTCCTTCGACAGCTGCGCACACAAGCCCGCTTGTCCACGTCCGCAGAGTGTGAGCAGGTCTACTGGAGGCACAAGGAACATTCTTTGCATGCGCATGAACTGCAAGGGTCGAGGCCATTACCATACAGAATATTAAAGGTGCACATCCGGGACTGGTTGTTGTTGATGGGGTCGCACGCTTGACCTGGTCCGTTTCCTGGTGGCCTGCAGCAGGTGCCACATGCTGCACGCCAGGCTGCAGGCAGGCAATCGCAAGCCATATCCATCATGTCCTTGCAGGACCGGCCGTTTACGGTCTTGTCGCAGTCTTCCGGCACCGTGACATAAGAAGCGATGACTTCCGGCACCGTGGTAAAAAGAGACGATGTCCGCGCGGTCGTATTCAGGTCGTCGGGCCAGCCGGCCGGTGGTGCCAGTTCTACAGACCAAGCGTTGGGGAGCACGGAAAAGCTGGCCGCGGAAGCAGCGATGAGCGCGCCGAGGAGCTTCTTCATGGGTTGCCTACCCCGAATTGACCCACCGATCTTCAAGTGAGCCCCCCCGGTGTGAGGCCGAGAGGGGGCGAAGCCGCTCGGGCCGTCGGGCGCCAAAGCGAAGCGCATCGCATGGTGGGAGCGGAGAGGGAGCGGCGGGTTGCGTGCAGCTCCCCGCGGCCATATGTGCGTCGATGCGGCGGGGCCAGCGCCGAGCGGAAGGGGGATCGCTCTCTTGCCAGAAGTGAGGGTGGGCGGTCGCGCGGGACAAGGGTGGGGAATGGGCAGCAGCGGACGCGTCTCGCGCCCTCCTCAATGGCAGCGGCTGCACCTGCGAGCGGGAGGCAGGCGGTGCGAGGCCAAGGGGGGGGAACAGCCGCTCGCGCCGCGAGCAGAGGCGCATCTCGCGTGGTGGGGGAGGTGAGGGGGCGGCGGGTTCCGTGAGCGATAGGCGTCGCGGGGGTCTAGGCGTGCAGCTCGCGGCGGCATAGTCGGGCGCGATGCGGCGCGGCAAGCGCGAGCGGACGAGGAAAGTGCTGGCTTGCCTTACGACTCGCGCGTGGAGACGCGCATCTTGAAGTCACCGTTCACAATTGTGCGCTTCCTTGTGTGGAAAGGCCGTTGGGGCAAGGCTTTTTTCTTTTGGGGGGGGATCAAGGTCGCCGCCATCGGCGCCACCATCGGCGCCGTCGTGGCGGGGCTCCTCTGCCTCGGCGGCGCGCTCTTCGCGCTACGAAAGCGTCGCCTCCAGCTCGCAAAGCAGCAGGTCTAGGCTTGCACACGAGGCGACTCTCAGGAGAACGACGACGGGGAGAGGGGCCAGGTAGTCATCACCTCCGAGTCGCTGCCAGAGCGGAGCGTGATCCACGCCCTGATGATCAAGGCCGTGGCCTCGCTGGCCGGCGACCTCGACGCTTTACGAGTGCCTGGGCACTAACCCGAACCGCCCTGCCCGCGAGCGCAACCGGCTACGCGCCGTTTGCGTCTGAGAGCGCGATAGAGCAACCGGCGGCTACGCGCCGTTTGAGCCAGAGAGCGCGATTATGCTTGGGGTTCGTCTACACTCACCGAGACCCGCCAGGCCGCACCTCAGACACAGCCTGAGTTGAGTCTCCCCAATCGCCACTGTCTCACAATTACGTCTCAGGTTGGCTCAGCATGGTCTCTACGGACCTGAGACGACTCAGTCAAGCAGCGGCTTGTGGCGTCGCAAACCCCGCCCTGCGCCACGTCTCATTGTGGCTCAGCACTGTCTCAGACGGAAGTGAGACACGACTCACTTCGCTCAGGAATTGTGACGTCTCAGCCCAGCCGCGTGAGACTGAGTGATACGCGGCCGAAAGAGACGAATGTGAGACGCATCTGAGACGCATCTGAGACGCACCTGCGACACTGACACTCAGCACTGTGACAGCAGAGAGACGCTTGGAGAGACGCAGAGAGACGGAAAAAATCATGCAAGTGAGACAGGGACGAAACACCCGTGAGCCGTGTGAGACAGAGACGTCTCACCAAAATTTCCCGTGCCCCCCGCGGGCCGCGCGCGCCGCCGCCGTGTGCGGCGTGTGGGCCCCGCGCCGGCGTGCGCGCGAAGCCGAAGGGCTGGCGGCGGCTGCGGCCTGCCGCCGCGCTGTCCCGCGGTGAACCCGACCACCCGAGTTGAAACTGAAATAAAAAAGGCATTCGGACCGGCCATCGCTCCCGCGTCTGCCGTCTCGCCTCAAAATACGGCCCTGTACCGCACACTGCGCGCACCAGGTGCGGGGGCAGACGTGTCGCACCGTGCGTCCAAGTTGTATGGCAACGAACAGATCGAGCCCACGCGCGCGCTGGCGTGGATCAGAACGCCGTCTTCCCGTGCTGATGTCCCTATTTATACGTGCGCGGGGTGGCGGTCCAATGCGCGAAGGAAGGTGTCGAGCGACGCAGCAGACTGAGGGGCTCGGCGGCCCTCCCTCGCTCAAACCAGAGGGTCATCCATCGCGCACCAGACGCGAGGGGAGCGGCAAGCAGCGGCAAGCCCACCCGAGCAGCGAGTCAGGGCATCCCCTTGTGCTTCGAGCCCTTGTGCTTGCTCTTGGAGGAGCCTTCACACGGCCGCGAGACGGGCGGCACGAACCCGTAGTTGGAGAGCGCCTCGTCCTGGCAAAACGAGCCGTAGTAGAAGAGCAGCTCCGCGCCTGTTCACAGCCCGAGGTGTGAAGAGACGCTCTTCAAGGCCGCCGTCGTAGAAGAGCAGCTCCGCGCCCGCAGCGATTGGTCGCAGCGCCCAGAGGAGGAAGGAGGAGCGCCTGCGCGCGAGGGGCGGTGAGCTTGCGGCCGGGCGACGCGGCAGGGGAGCTGGGCGCGCTGCGCCGGTCGTCGAAGCGGACTCGCAGCCCGATCTGCCCAAAGTTGAGCATGTCGCAGACGGGGACGATGAACTGGCGCGTGCGGCCGAAGACGGGCAGGTTCCAGTCGCGCGCCTGCAGGGAGGCGCGGGAGGAGTCTGGGGCAGGTCCTGGGCGGGTCTCGGAAGCAGCCTCTCGCCTGCACGACCCCGAGCACCTCTGTCACGCGCCGCAGCGAGTAGAGCGACGCGCAGGAGCGAGGCGAGGCCGCGCCGTCCGCCGACGCGGCCGCCGTCGGGTCGCACGCGCCTCCCTCGGCGAAGGCGGCGGGGTGCTGCTGCAGCGCCGGCGCGATGAGCCGCTGGTGGAGCGCCGCCACCCGCGCCTGTTCACGGAGACTGTTCACGGCTATTGTTCACGGCTGCGCGCGTGAAGAGGCGTGGCGTCGCAGAGGCGGAGGGAGAGCTCGGCGGCCGCACCTGGAAGCGGCGCGCGGTGGCCTGCACGCTGGGCTTGAGCGCGCGGAAGGCGTCCGAGTCGGGCGGCAGCGTCTTCGGGATGCTCGCCGGGTCGTGCCCGGAGAAGGAGGCGTGGATGTACGCCGCGTGAGGCGACGAGTCGCGCGCTCCCTCGCGCAGGATGAAGAGCGAGATGGCGGCGGCCTGCGATGGCAGGCAAGAGAGTGAGCAGCGCGCGGCGGCGCGCGGGAGGAGGCGCGCGGCGGCGTCAGGCTCTCGCGCCTCCCACAGCCCGCGCTGGCTGACGTCCTTGTCGGCCATCCGCAGCACCGGCGCAAACGACGAGTTTTGCACTGACAGGAAGGAGATCATGTTGGCGAGCGGCACGACGCAGACCTCCTCGTGCTTGGCGATCGGCTCCAGCGCGACCGCGCCGCGCAGCCGCCGCCCGATCGACGGGTACCAGAAGGTGGAGACACCCACCTTTGGGCAGTGGAGGCCGAGGCTGGGCAGGAGCCGCATGAAGCGCGCGGTCCGCTCGGAGTCGTTGTGCGGAATCCAGTGCGAGCGCTGCATCCAGGCGGCGGAGGACGAAGGAGCCGGCGGGATCGCGGCGTGGCAGAGCGCCAGCAGTCCGAGCATCAGTGAGCGAGAGGAGTTGGCGGCACCGACACTGATGTGTGCAATGTGCGGGCGAAGAATTTTTTTCCGGCTCTTGTGGCGCAGTCTGGTATCCTCCCCTATTCCGCGTGAAATGTGCGGCCGCTGCGCGGCGTCAAACGCACCGACTCGGAGACTGCGGACGCCGGGGTCGACGTGTTCATGCCCGCCGACGGTCCATAGATAGTTGATCCTGCGCACTGGCATTGATTGTGGAGGAGTTCTTCTCTCTTGGCATTGGCCCCGTCGGAATTTTCTTCGCCCCGCGAAGTCAGAGAGTAGGGTGGCGTACTGTTGCGCCCGAGTCGGTTCCACCGCCCGAGGACTGCCCAGTCTCCATTGCGCGCAACATCGCGAGCACTGCGTTGACGGCACCCGGCGACGCAGCCTCCAGGAGGCGGACTGACTGCGTCGCGTTGGGCTCAAGCAGGTTTTCCGGAGAACAAAAAGGAAAACAGAGGGTCCCCAGCACTTTGCGTTTCCGGAAATTTCCAGGGAAAACAGAGGGTGTTTGGTGCTCCATTCTGGAAACTCGCGAGTTTCCCTGAGTCTGAGAGCTGGTCTGGGGCAAAATCTGAGGCAAAATTGAGGAAATCGACAAAATACCCAGGCGGTCGCAGGGTAATTTCCAGGTATACACGGGTTCTCCGCGAAATTCCCGGCATTTTGCCGATTTGGCCTAAAATTAGGCTGATTTTGGGCCCAAACCAGCCTCAGACTCGGCTCAGAACCAAAAATTTGACGATTTCCACGCAGTTTTCCCGGGAAATTAGAGAGGAAAGGAGAGGGTGCTGTAGAGAAAAAAGGAAAGGAAAAGAGACGAGGTGCGAGAGGCAAACCTGCTTGAGCCCAAGCGTCGCGGCGCATGTCACCATCGGCCTCCGGGGGTGGGTCCGGGGCCAGGCCACTCTCGGCGCCCGAAATACCCGGCGCAGAGCCCGGCATTGGGGCCGCGCGCGGACGAAGGCAAACCCTATAGGGTTTGAGGGCGCCCGCACGAGATAAACTAGGCCTTCTTCTTTCAGAAAGATGAGAAAGACGGAGTGCGCTGGGTTCCGGCTCCTACCTAGATAGGGGGTCTGTCCCCACCCGTTAGACCCTGTGCAATAGGTAGATAGGTCCGGTTTTGACCGCCCCAGAGGGCCCCGCAATAGGTAGGTTGGTAGTGGCGGTGTGCGTGTGGTGGGGGGGGGGGCGGGGGGGGTAAAAAACCCGAAGAGAGGAGTGGGAAAACCGCTTCCGCTCGCGCGGGCGGGAGACGGCGCGTTTAGCCGCGAACGGGGCCATGCCAGACGAGTCGCCTGCGGTTGGGACGCCAGCCGAGACGGGTGCGGCGGGCGCTGCGAGCCTATTCACAGAGGGCTCAACGGGTATTTTTCGCTTCGTTCGCAGCGCGGCCTGGGAAGAGGTAGGTAGGTGGGGCACGGAGCCTGGCGGTTGGCGCCCGCAATAGGTAGGTAGGTAGGGCGTTTTGGCGCGACTCTATCTGGGTAGGAGCCGGAACCCTGCGAGGGCACCTCGTCTCGGTAGTACAGCTGTCGCCGACTGCTCCCACTCCGCTGCTGCCTCATCGCGCCGTCGAGCTCTTCTACCTGCAGCACGGCCACCGCGCCAACGCCTTCTCGGTCGCCTTCGATCCAGACCTCGAGCGCTTCGTCTCCGGCCGAGGCGTCGTCGCCCACGCGACTTGCAGGTTCCTCAGGACGAGAATAGTTTTCTACGACCCTCTCTGCGCGGAGGAGCAGGAAGGAGGACCTCGCAGCGCTGATCGACGAGTTCCTGACCTCGGCCCGCGGCCACCACGTCGGCTTCTGGAAGGCCTCGCAACAGACCGTGGCGGTCGTTGCGGAGCGAGGGTTTCGGATCGTTGGGTACGGAGTCGACCAAGAGGTGCCCCGGGGCCCCCCGTGCCGGAACCCTCTTGGGTTGGAGGTGCGAGCTGGCGGCAAAGTACTCATTAGACAGCACCTGCGCGAGAGGGTCGTTCGAGGGCTCGCTCGCCAGGCGAGAGAGAGACGATGACGAAGGCGAGTACGACCACGATTACGGCTCAGCGCCTCGCTGCCCTGACCGCCGCCGCGGATGGCACGGCGCGCGAGATTGAGGCCCTCGAGGCCAAGCTCCGCGCAATCGCGCTCCGGAAACGTGCCATAGCAGAGCGTGCCGTGGAGGAGAACGCGGCGGCCGACGCGGCGGCGGCATTGGCGCGCGCGGCGGCGCAGAAGGCGGCGCGGGAGGAGCTTCCGTCGCGTGAGGAGCAGGCGTTCATCGACGCGGAGATTGGCAAGTCCGAGGAGCAGCAGGCTTGGCTCGAGCGGCAGGTGTCCGACGCGGCTCGGCGCAGGGCGGTCGCCGCCGCGCCGCTGCCCTCTCCGCTCTCGGCGGCGCAGGAGCGCTGGCTCGGCGTCGAGGTGGAGAGGCACGTCTCGCGCGAGGCGGCCGCGGCCGCCGCTGTGGCCATGACCCGGCTGGCGGCGAGCGAGGAGGCGGGCAAGCCCGCGCGCGACGAGCAGGAGTGGGTCGAGGCGGAGATGGGCAAGGCGGAGGAGGAGGCGGCCTGGTTCGAGCGGCAGGCGAGCGAGGCGGAGAAGCGGGTCGCCGTCCTGCGCTCGATTCTGGCGGAGCGAGGCGGCTCCTCCGCGTCCGCCCCCCTCGCCGCGGCCCTCCCCTCCCCCGTCTCCCTCGAGGAGGAGCGCTGGCTGCGCCACGAGGCGGAGCAGCACGCGGCGAGGCAGGGCGCGGCGGCGGCGGCAGTCGAGACGGCGCTCAGCCTCGAGGCGGGCGGCGAGGCGGCGCGCAACTCGCCCTCAGCGGCGGAGCAGGCTTGGATGCTCGAGGAGCAGCGCAAGCTCGCCGAGCAGGGCGCGTGGCTCGAGCGGCAGGCGACCGGAGGGGGACTCGAGGCGGGGACCAGCCGAGGGGCTCGTCCCGTGAGGTGAGCGCCACATCTCCTGCAGGCGTCGGAGAGCAGGCGCCGCTCGGAGCTGCTGCGGCGGGCCACCGGGCGCACGCCCCCTCCCCCGCAACGCGCCGGCCTCTCCGCCACCGCGCAGCCCTTCGAGCCTCCGGCGCCGCTGAGCGCCGCCGCCCCGGGGGCAAAGCTCCCCCCCTCCCCCTCCTCGGCCCCCTCCCCGCGGCGGCCCTTCGACCGGCCGCTGCAGGCAGGCGGGACGGCGGCAGGCGGGACGGCGGCCGTACCTTCGGCCCGCGCGACGCTCGCCCACCGGGCCGCCGCCCATCCCATCCACCCACCCTCCGCCGCCCAGCCCGCCGGAGGGGCGATCCGGCGCGCCGCTCGCCGACCGGCACCCGTCCACCGCGGGACCCGTCCACGGGACACGTCCGCGACACGTCCGCGACGTGCACCGCAGGCGCGCCCTCGCGGACCTCCACCGCACGCGCGAGCAGATGGGCGCGCTCCGCGCCCTGGCTGCCGAGGCGACCGAGGCGGTGGAGGCGATGCGGGCGGGCTCGCTCGAGCCGCAGCCGCACCTCAAGCGGACGCTTGTCCAGCTGCAGCAAGACGCGGCTTCCCTGCTCGCGCGAGGCCGCTCGGCGCTCGGTGCGATGGCGGCCGCCGGCCCGTCCGCCTCCGCCTCCGCCTCCGAGGCGGGCCTCGCGCGCTGTCGGCGAGCAGTGGACGCGCGCTGATGGACAGCTGGCTCTTTGACAACTGGCTCTTTGCACAGGCGGAGCACGTCCTCTCGCTAGCGGTGCAGACGCTGCGCGAGGAGCTCGCTTCGCTGCTCACCGCCTACGCCGAGATGGAGGCGGAGCGAGGCGTGGCGCACGCGTGACGGCCCTCCTCACTCCAGCAGCACTCGTCGGGCGGGCACGCTGTGTGGCGCCGTCGCACGTGCACTCTCGACTGATGCGCAACACACAGCGCACGCCACACACGGTGGGGGCAAGGCGACGACGAGGATTGGGTCGGCTGGTCGGAGGCCGGCTGCTGTTTGCAGTATACCCTCCACCCGCACCGCACGGTGGGGTGGCTGTCACGCATTGTGTCTCTGTCTGTCACTCTGTGACGAGCTCGAGGGTGTCTCGTGACACGACTCCCTGCAGTGCTGAGTCCTGAGACGAGACGCCACAGCCGATTTTCTTACTGTCTAATTAATCGATCTTGTCGTGAATCATGCAAATTGAAAATGCCCCGTGCCGACGTGCAGTCATCATCTGTCTCCACACATTTAACTCTCGGGCGTCGTGGTGCAGCACCGCACGCCAGAGGCTCAGGCAGGAGGCACAGAGCCCTCGAGGCAGAGACCAGAGTGCAGTCTGCACACCGAGACCCCGCCGCGGCCCACCGTTAAACCCCGCGTCCATGGGAGCACGACCCTGACTGAATTACCAAAGACCGCTTCACTCCTCTCCGCTGGCTGCTTCCGTGACCGCCCCAATGCTGGCTTGTCGCTGCGCCTTCTCGTCCAGCAACCTGTGTGAGAGGATCGTGATTGAGAGGTGCGTGGAAGTGAAATCCTAAAATGAAGTGGAGGTCGCTCACCGCTCGAGCTTGAGGCGCGTCTGGCAAAGCAGCTCGCTGTAGAAGGAGAGGCCCACCTAGGGACAAGCTAGCGGCTAGCTTGTCCCTCGCGAGCTGTTGAGGCGGTTGTGCGTCCGTATGTGTCCAAATCCTGGGATTTTAGCTGCAATGCTTCCAGGTCGGCATGGGATTTGGTGGTGATTGGAAATCCAGGATTTCCAACCGAGGCGAGGCGCTCCGTGATCTCAACATACTCCGCGGTGAGAGCCTATTCTCCTACAATGCGAGAGTCTGCAGCTAGAAATTGCAAGACTCCAATGCGAGGGTGAGGCGCCGCAATCGGGCCGTGGTAGAAGGCCTCCAGCTCTTCCTGGGGCGTCGGCGACGGCTCCTCAGCCATGTGCTGCTGCTGCTGCTGCTCTGCTGCCGCCGCACGCGCTGCTGCGCGCTGCTGCTCTTTCCGGCTTGGGCCCTTGCCTCGCGGCGAAGATGAAACCGCAAACAGTATAGTCTCTTGCGGGCATAAGAAAACAGGATCTCGCGGCACGCCGCCGTTTCTAAGCCTTTCCACCCACCCCACCCACCCCACGCCGTGGTTTCTTAGCTTCGGCCGGCACCCCAGGTCAGCCGGGATCTAGGAAATTTTAGGTAAAATGACAATAAGGAAGCGCTGGACCGATGCGCCAGTCAGCAGTCTTGGGATGACAGGAAGACGCACACACCTCCATCCACACCGCCCAGAACACCGCAGACTTGGGCAAAATGACAAGTGCGCGCGCCGCAGGCGAAGAGCAGGCGAAGAGAAAATTTGAGCGGGGCTCCTGTTCACACTCGTGATTCTTCTCTTCTCTCACTCGTGTGTGGGCCCTTTCTTGGGGCCGCGCCTGCGGCGCGCCGCGGTTTCTTAGATTTTCGCGGAAATTGCTTGGTAGGGTTTCTTAATCCCTAAACGGCGTTCCTGAAAAGAAAGAAAGAAAACAGACAACCCAAGGGAGGGATGGGAGGACGGCACGCCGCCACCACACAGGGATTTTAAGGAGAGGTGTGTGGTGCGCTAGCCGTCGCCCACCCTAGGGAGTCTGCCTCTTCCTATCTCTCTTCGCAGTCTCTCTCCGATTCTCGCTGCAACCTTCATGCCACCTCGCGGTCGTCCCACTCTCGTCGTTCTCTCCCTTGTCATTTCCTCCTCTGTCGCGTCGTTCCCTTCTGCCTCGTCCTGTGACGCCGCCGCCTGCCGGTCCCTTGTTCTCGCGGCTTCTTTCGCCTTTCGGCGCAACTCCGTCCTCCTCGCGGCGTATCCTGGCCCCTCGAGTCTATCGAGCTCCCCTCGCGCAAGGACCACGTTTCTGACTCCCACTCCGATCCTTGCCGTACGGCAAGGAACGCTCCGTTATTTTATTCCTTTCAGGACGGCTGGTTGCGGTGACGACCGATCCAGCAGTCGTCTGCGACATGGTAGTGGCCCCGAGTCATGTGCAGCTGGTCCCGAGCGGCTCAGGTCCCAGATCGAATCTCGGACCCACAGATTCTAGATTCCTTTAGATTCCCTGGATTCCCGCAACAACGATCTCTTAGCGGCGGCAAACAGAGGCGCAACTCTGCCAGCAGCGAGGAGGCTCCTGCTGCTCAGCTACCGAGGCCTGGTGGCGTCGGCTGCTGCGTGGAGAAGACAGCAGCACTGTCCGACCTCAAAACATGCACAACAAGCGGGATTTGTGACTCTGTCTTCCATTCTTCAGTCGCTCTGCCGGACGCGCTCGCTTTGTCGCGAGGGTCACCTGTGCAAGCCGTGTGGACGCCCAGAATAGCCTCCCCTGGCTTAGCTAGACTGAGAGATATTGTGAACATGGTCAGCCTCTACAATATATACGCTGACACTTTACCTCCCAGAGCTCGTCTCGGTCCGCCACGGCCATCCTCAGCCTCCGGAGGGCCCCTGGCCGCGGCGCGGTGCGGCGGCGTCACAAATCCGACGTCAGTTCACCGGGACGCGATCGGGCGATCTGAAGTCCAACTAGGCGTATGGATTGCCCGCCCAGGGCTATCACCTGGACCCCTCAATGGACGCCTGCGGTGCCGCCCCCACGAGGTGTTGTTCACACCTGTCCAACCATTCGTGCAGCAGGGACGCGCTCTGTGTGTGGCTGGCAGCAAACTCAAATGACGACGGGTTGCAGCCTCGTAGCTCAACGGCAACATTGTGCATGAGGAAGTCTGATAGAAGTAGCACCAGCCACACAACCAACAGCTTCTGGAGAGTATGCGGAGCGCAAGCAGCCGGTGATCAAAGGCGTGTTGCTGTCGGTGGCAGAATGCCAGAGGGACGCCGGCGCTTCGGTGCGTGGCTTCGGGGTGGTCACAATTTTCCACCGCTCAACTTGGAGGCAGTGTGTCTAGTAGCGTGCTACACCTATGCCGGCGGACCTCACTGGGGCGCCGACGTGCGACGACCGTCTGGGATCGAAAGACGAAACCGCGTCCTCCAGGAGCTCGTGCAGTCTGCAGAGCGCGCTCCGGAGCTCTGTGGCGGAAAATTTAAAGGGAACGTGGTGGCTTCCCACCGCCTCTGTATGTGCCCAATAAAGTGCTAACACGACCCTCGGGCAGCAGGGGGTATGTGGCGAGCGCACGGAGGCACAGTTAGGCCGCCGTGATATCGCCCTTTTCCGGGCACCCCGTTTCGGTCGTAGCCGTTTAGGGGTTAATGGGACGCTTTCTTAATGCCCGCAACAGACTGTACATTTTAGGGGCTCGCCCAGCCGCGAGGTTTTTTCAGTTGCAACCTCCTTCGGGGCAGAGGCGTGTCGTCATCTTCTGTTCGCGTCCCCACCCATACCGCGTTGGTGTTGGTGTCCAGTCCGAGCCTGACTGTTCTTCACCTTCCTACCTACCGACCTACCTAGAGGCTGTCTGAGCACACGCTACGAGTACGAACTCTATGAAGTGGTTCATTTGCTCGAGGAGGTCTCAATTTCGTCTGAAAAGATCGGCTCGCGAGCGAGGTGGGTGCGTGGAGCGTGGAGTGCTCTAGTGTCTGAGCCCGATACGTCGCGTAGTATACGTAGACTCGTAGTGCGCTTGGAGGAGCAGACGACCACCTCATGTTTCACACACAATCTCTCTCAGCGCATGTGTTTGTGGATGTGTGTGTGCGATGTGTGCGCGCGTGTGTGTGTGCGCATGTGGTGTCGGTCTCGCGCCTCTCGCGGTCGTCGGCGGTGCGCTCTCACACCTCTCTGACTCTGTCTGCGTCACTCGTTGTCGACACGTCGGGTGCACATGAACGTGTCTCACTGCGGCTGGCAGGATTATGCCCCGTCGAGCGTCGTCGCCGACAACGATCTGCTACCCCTCTTTTCCTTCACCCTTGCAGCGACGTCTCGCTCGAAAGAGAGTGCAGGCATTGGTAGCCATGGCCGGGGAGAGGTGCGAGAAGAGCGCGAGGAGACGAGGTGTCAGCGATTTGGGCAAAAGAGGGTCCCCCCAACGGCATGCACCAGCACCGCGCCGCTGCAACCCATCGGCCAATTGTTAGGAGCTAGATCTCTTTGACAGCTGCTTGCCGACCTCTTCGTCATTCTCATAGAGGTCGTCGTCGTCCTGGTCCTGCGCGCCGCTGAGGCGGTCGCTTCCTATCGAGAAGATGTTGCGCGCCTTGCTGCGCGACTCGACGAGCGGGCCGATCCTTCGTCTGAGCCCACAGCAAAGGGCTGCAGCGAGCACCATGCCCACGGTGATGAGCAAGCCGGTGAAGTTCTTCGACATAACCAGAGGCTCCTCGACGAAGGCTACCTGCCGCACCGACACGATGCGCGAGAGGCGCGGGAACTCGCTCTGCAAGTACTCACCGCCGCGCTTTCGGATCTCAGCCTGCTGCGGTCGGTCTCGGTAGCCAGAGTAGACGGAGGCAAGTGTTGGCATGCCGAAGACAACGCGGCCAATCGGGACGTAGCCTTTGTCGTCCAAGTTGGGGTTGTCGTCCAAGTTAATGATCAGCTGCGTGCCACGAGGCGAAGTGTCCGAGGCGACAAACGCGACCGAGCCGCGGATGTTCCAGTCGGGGTGAGCCACCGCCTCGTCGGATAGCGGCTGCGCATCCCACTGCGCCTGCAGTGTACGATTGCTCGAAAGGCCGAACTGCAGCACCACGCCAGGGATGACGCGGAAGATTGCGCAGCCGTCAAAGAATTTGGAGTTGACCAACTGCCGGAAACGCCCAGCTGCTTGCGCGCCCTTGGCCTCCCTCACCGTCACGAGTACTGCCTCGCGCCGCCGCTCATCCACCTGTATGGTCAGCTTGACCGTGAAATCTTCTGCCCTCGCCGTCGCGGCGAGGAGCGCCACGGCGCACAGACAGGCCCGCGTAGCAGGCATACGTTTGGTAGGGGGGCCGGCACAGGCCCGCGTAGCAGGCATACGTTTGGTAGGGGCGCGCACAGCAGAGCGCTTGACGGAGCTCGGGGTCGCGGCGGGCGGGTTCTTTTTTTCGATTTTTAGTTTTCGGTGAAGGGCAGCGCATTTTACATACCGAGTCGGTATACCCGGTGGCGCAGGCGGTGCCGCGGTCGGATTAAGATATTAAAAGGCTATTTGAGGGGAGGGAAGCTGGCTGGGGCGACGAACGTACGACCGTCGGCCTGCGGCTGCGCCCCCTCCTTCCTGGGTGGACGAACGTTTCGGTGGACTCTGGGGGGGCGCGGGGGGCCCCGGGGGCACCGTGCGCCGCACCGCAGTGCGGAAACGGGGCCCCGGCTCCGCTAGTCTCCGGTCTCACCAACTTCCCGATTAAATACAGTTAAATAGAGGGCAGATTTGGAGAGATCTCGAGGAGTACACACAGATAGACCCTCCAACCATGAGAAAACTCCGACCTGATTGGTCGTACTGACCGCCGACAGATCACTCCAGACAGCAGACAGGCCGACGTCTGCACGCGGCCGGCCGGGCGAGAGGCTTGACACGATCCGACCCTGTGACCCTGACGCTGCTGCTCTAGCTATCAGACATGCACTGCTGACTGCTGCCAATCTCTGCCACAATGCGCGACCTGTGCTGGCCCACTTGGCGGCCTTCCCGGTCAGTGGTGAGGCGCAGTTCAGAGCTGTCGATGGCGCGATGCCGCACTGCCACTGGTCCCACATTGGTGACACTAGACCACCAAGTTTGCCGGTCCAAGAGAGAGGCACCGGCGCTGTCCTAGAAGGTGCGTGTTCCCTCTTGACTGCCCATGCGCGCGAGGCTGTGTAGGCATAGCCTCGAGAGTGCCAGCAGCCAATCCGAGGCGACGCGCATTGCGCCAGAAGCGTGCACACGATGGAAGGACACCTTCCTACTGGCCGTACGATCAGGTCGTCACTGAGGTCGTCACTGAATGCTTGGTATTAAGGCCGCGAGCTTTGCAGGTGATCAATTGTGCAGCATGGCACGGTCAGCAGCGCCGAAAGGATGTCGCAAAGGCGTGATAGCATGGCGCCGAGGGCCCAACTTGAGAATCGTGCTTTTTGTGAGGTTGTTTCGTGTTAGGTTGGGTTGTGCTTGGGTGAGGTTGTTCCGAGTGAGGTTAGGTCGTCGGCGCGAAGGGTGAGTCTCGACTGCCGCCGCTCACGCCAGCGGACGGCCACTATCGGTGTTTTTGGCTTCGCCACCGTCCAAGGCGTGCGCCATGCACTCGCCGTTATCGAGCGTCCGAGCAAGCTTGTCCGACGAGTGGCTTGCTGTGCGGACGCCTTCTTGTGGCTCTCGTCGAGAGCGTTTTGCGTCCCGGCGTGTTGAGAGAGATGTCGTCGTCGTCGTATACTGCTGGCCCTCATGTTGCCAGGGCTGTGGGCTGCAGAATTGGCGTCTGTGGCGTGTCTACGCAGGCTCTGCAGCGTGATGGCTGGCGGGACTGCGAGGCTGGCGGCAGCGGAAGGAGAGGCTGGGCACGAGCCAGGAACAGGCTGGCCAGGTCCGCAGGTGGCTGCGCTCGGGCGAGGCGCGCGCGCGCATGGCAGGCCGAGCAGGCTCGGCATATGGTGAAACCCCGAGGAGCGAGGTCGCGATGCGGTCCCGCTTTCCGCGATCATTTCGTCCGTCCAATCGAAGGAAGCGCCGGATCGCCCATGTTTATGGAGTTAGCCAAACTTGCCCTGACGTTCTTCGGTCCAGATTCCTGGTTTTTTGCACGGTATTCGGATTTTCGCTATTTGGTCGTGTGGGTGTGTATTCCGGGATTAGTCAATGGTACCGCGTCGGCGACGCGGGCGCCTTGCGGGCAGAGCCCTTAGCCACCCTTTGTCTTGCGCGGTCAAAAACTTCCGGGTCGCCCCGCCGCGGACGCTGCTCACACGTCCCGCCGCGGAACGCTGCTCACACGTCAAAATCTAGTTTTTTTCTTTCTGCTCACACGTGTATCACACCTGGACGCTGCTCACGCGATTGCTGCTGTCGATGCGATGTCGGCCTTGTTGAGACACAGCGACTCTGACCCTCCGTCGCCACCACTGCAGCCGCCTGCTCCTCTCTCGTTCGAGCACACACGGCCGTTCCTGCATGCGTGGTTCGAGCGAGAGGCGGAGCAGCGGGAAGTGGCGCGCGACGAGCTGCACCGCCTCTCCGGATGGTCCTACCTCAGCACCGCCGAGTTCCGCTCGCTTGTCGCCGACGCTGTCCACCGTCTCAACCCGCCCATTCGCGACGGCGCGTTCGTCTACGAGCTGGGCATCGGCGCGGGGGCGGTTCTGAAGACTATCAGCTCCCTGCACCGGATCCGTCCAGCGGGCTGTGATTTCAGTCCCAAGGCGATCCAGCGAGCCAGCGAGATCTTTCCAGCTCACGCCGCGGCGTTCCGGGTCGGCGACATTGCGCTGCCTCTCTCCTCGAAGGGCGGCTGCGCCGCGAGGGCCGGCGCGTACTCTCACGTCCTCTCGTTCGGCTCGCTCGCAATGTATCTCACGCACAGCGAGATGGCCGTCGCACTGAGGAACGTTGCGAAGCTGGCGAGTGCCGGCGGCTCCGTCGCCGTCACGCACTTCATCGAGGCGGACGGCGAGCCGAAGGGGACCATCGTTGCGCCGATCAGCCGGCAGCGCCTAAGACAGCTCGCGAGCGCTGCCGGGCTGACTAACATCAGCTTCCACCCGATGAAATACCAGGGAGATAGGTTCATGATGACTGCCCGGGGTCCTCGCGTCGATAAGAGCGGATGGGCCGGAGGCCCCAGCCCCCACACCTTGCCACCTCGTCCCACTCGCTAGCGCTTCCAGCATTCCAGCCGAGCTGTGCGTTGTAACTTTTTATAATGCGTGCGTGTGTGTGGAGTCAGGAGTGTGCGCCGTGTGCATATGGTCGTATGTGTGTCCCGCCTCCCGCGCGCTTCCACCGCACACACACGGGCGCTCACAGCCGCACTCCTTTCTCTCCTAATCGTTTAACCCCGTGGCATCTCTTCCTACCGCACGCGCGGCTACTACGGGGGGTACACAACCTCTACGTGTCCTACAAGCCCATTCATGATTACAATAGTATTCAAGTATTGTACTCATAATACACGTGCATCGTGAGTACTCAACTCATGAGTACCACCGCAGTTGAGTATTCATACTCATGAGTACGGCTGGCGCATGCGTGAGTAAATGTACTCAAGTCCATGAATACTACTCATCCCAGAGTCCCAAAACGCGCTCCCTGTCGACCGACCGCTGTCTCTGCTCCAGCGCTTCGCATATGCCACCAAAGAGGAAGGGAAGAGCCCAGCCTCGGCTAGATGTGCCAAAATACAAGCTGCTTCGGCAGCCGATGAGTCTTCTCGGCACGCAGGTCAAGTTCCCCGGGTCGTTCTGGGAAGGGCGAAAGTTCACCACGGAGGATGGGCTGCTCAACGAGTTCGCCATGATGTGGGCGCTGCGCAACAAGTTCCCGCTGCACTACGTTCTCTTCAAGCAGACTGCGTGCCACCTGCCGCGCGAGGCCAACGTCGAGCAGATCTTCTCTCGCGGACTCGCGCTGGGCTGCTGGCAGACCCCAACCTCAACCCGGCCCACCTGGCTGTGCTGGTCAGGATTGGCTTCAACAAGAAGGCCTTCGAGCCGGCAGTGGCAGCGATCAAGGAGAAGTACTACGAGCTGTTCCGAGGCAAAGGGGGCGAGCACAAGGAGGGCTCCTCGGGCGCGGCCGGTGCGGGGCATCTCCATCGGCGGCCGGGGCGGCCGGGGCGGCTTCGTCGTCGGATGCCGCCGCCGTGGCATCGTGAATATCTAGCCGCGGTGCCCTGTATCGTCTGTGGCTCGGTTTGTGTGTTTTAATTTTGGTCACTATTCTCTCACAGCGCACGCGAAACGATAGCCCGGTCATGAACAACGACAAATCCTCTATCTATCGAGCCACGCCACTAGCACTATGGCTGCCTAATCCTCAATGCCCTCGCAGCAGCCAGCCTGTTGCGCCGCTTCTTTCCGATCAGTTGATCGGGGTCGCAAAAGCGCATGCCGAGCACCGCCTCAATCTTGTAGCAGAATGTCGGCACGACCGCGTCGTCCGCACCGCCACCTGCCAGCCGCGCCTGGCGCTGCGCCGATGCTGCCTTTTGGCACTTGTAGCGAGCACACATGGTGCGGTGCGCGTACTTGAGCAGGCGGTGTGCGCCGCAGTTGGCGCAGTGGCCCTGGGAGTAGGCGTGCGCGGCATGTGGACGCGCACTCGGGTATTTCTCGGGTATACCTGGACTTTTGCGGGTATACCCGGGTTTTACCTGCAAGTTGCTCACGCACTTGTATTTGAATACATTATTCATATTCATGAGTACAGGCAGACGTGACTATTCATATTCATGGATACCAGACGTCATGACTACTCATACTCAACAATACAAGCTGCCAAAGGATGAGTTGAGTTATTCATTGTAATCATGAATGCGGGGCTTGGTGTCCTAGACGTGTTTTTCGCGCAGCTGCCAAAGGATGAGTTGAGTTATTCATTGTAATCATGAATGCGGGGCTTGGTGTCCTGGTAGTACTTAGAACAGTCGCCGTTTTTTAGATGTATTTGTTTACACTCTTTGCCTCGTCCAGTGCGTGGCGTCTAGCGACCACCGAGGGTCAGACAACAAGTCGCGCACACAGCTGGACGAGAGACAATAGATCCCGTTTCTCGTCACCGAGGACAGAAGGAGTTTGAGTGAGGGACCGGAGGGCCTCTTTTCCTGTGCGAGACGTGCGAGAGGTACATGTTGAAGACGAGACTGGCGATGTTGTCGACGACGACTTGCATGGAGTAGTGAGGCAGCGCAAAGACCACGAGGTACGTGGCGGAGAAGAAGGCGAGGCCGTCGACCCACACACGCCAGAACTTGGCGCGGACCTCCGCCCACGCCTCCGCTGCCCCACCGCCGCGCATGTACGCCTGGAGGCCGAGGTAGGCGACGGCGGTGGCGGACTCGTAGACTATCTGCGAGAGGAGCGCCTTCGTGGCGGCGAGGCTCGCCGGGTGGGTCAACGCGCGAGCGAGCGGCGGAGAGAGCACTCGGCGTGCGGCGAGCACATAGCGGTGCGACGCCTCGTGCAGCAGCCGCGCCCAGAGAAGGAAGGGGATGTCGTCCGAGACGAGCGCCGCAAGAGTCGACCGGCGAACTCGCCGCCAGTCCAGGTCCGCCGTCGCCGTTCGGCCGCGGGCCGAGTCGACAGCAACCGCTTGCGCGAGGACGTCTGCTGCGGCATCGGCGAGAGCTCCGTGCGCAAGAAGCGCAGCCATGTCATTGTCGAGCCGCAGCGCGCGCAGAGCAGCTCGGACGGCCCCAGGTGACTGCTGGCGGGCTGTCGGCCCCGCTGGGATGACAGCGGCGGAGGCAGCGGCGACAGCGATTGCAGTGCCCGCGTAGATGCGTGCAGGCGTCAGGCGCACGGTTGCGGTCACACAGTGCTTGCCGCCGCCCGGCTGACTGCTGGTTGGCTCTGGATGCGCACAAGGCAGGAGGAGCGCCTGCCACATCAAAGAGATATATTTCCCACTTTCCGCACGGCACCCGTGGCTCTCGATCCGACCCCATGCACATTGTGAAAAAAAGAATCACCCGCAAGCATACTGCGGGAAAAACGTCCCGAACCCATACTGTGACCTGTAGCATATGCGTACGTGAGACTGGATAGGAGTTCGTAGTACCTGGGATTTTTTTGGTCGGTGCGTACAACGCACTTTTGCTCGTTCCTCTCTCTGGACTCTGGTTGTAAGGCGTGCCGGGGAAACCCTCGCGCGAAAAGAAAAAGGACGCCCCGTGGATCTTTGATGATTCTTTCTTTACCACCGTCGGCCGTCCACCCCGCCCCTTGGCCCTGCCTTCCTCCTCTCTCCGTCTCGCCCGCAGCTCCCGAGTGCTTGCCGTCACCTCGACTCGACGCTGAAGGCGAGGTAGACCTGGTTGTGGTCGGTGAGGACGCGCGGCTGCGGCTCGTGCCCGTACTCGGCCGTCACCGCGGAGGCGGCCACGAGGGCTCCGCCGGTGCGGTCCATCAGCACGCGGTCGCACCACGCCGGGCAGCGCTTGGAGGCGAGCAGGTCGCACCAGCCCGCCTCGTCGGGCGGGGTGCCATCGCCCTTGCCCTCGCGGTAGGCGTAGGAGGGAGGGAAGGCGAGCGGGAGCTCCTCGAGGGGGAGGGCGCACTCGGCCGAGGCGGAGAAAGGCGCGAGCTCGCGGTCCGACCTGCGAAGGGGTTGGGGGCTAGCCTCGGTCGTGCGTCCA